GCAGCCGCGCGCGCTCCCGGAAGGCCGCGTCGTCCGCCAGCGCCAGGCTCCGCCGCGAGAGGCGGGCGGCTGGACCCGGCCAGACCCGGCCGGGGGTGCGGAGGCTGCGGGCAGACCAAGAGACGCGGTTACTGCGCGTCCAGGCCCCGCCCGCCGCCGTCTATCCTCCCCGCAGTCTAACTCAAAGCCCTGTCATTGCGCCGTCTGCGGAGCGTGGATCGATCTCTCTCCCCCGTCTCTTGCTTTGTGTGTGGGTCTCAGTCTCTCTGCTCACCAGGTTCGAAACTCCTTGAGTACCAGAGCGAGTCTGATGCACTTGCCTGCCCGCAGCGCTCAGCGCACGCCTGGCACACATCAGAACTCAATAAACCTTGCTCAAAGAATGAATCCGTTTGTGCATCGACTCCCTTCACGTCTCAGCAAACCTTTCCCAGACTCTCTTTGTATATCTTTGTCTTATTGATTCTCTGCCCACCACCCCACCTCCCCGTCTGCCCCTGCACCCAGCCTCTGTCCTTCTCTCTAGTTTCCGTCGCCCTTTCTTTGGGTCTTTGCTTCCCTTTCTGAGACTCTGTTCTTCTTTCTCTCTGGGCCTCTTCCCACCTCTCCAAGTCCCACCCCTTCCTGGGAGTCCTGGGCCTGGCTCCTACCTGAAGACCCCGGCTGCGGGGGCCAGGGCGACTCCTGAGGCAGTGCGGATGCCCCAGGGCACGAGCAGCAGCAGCAGCAGCAGCAGCAGCCGGGAGCTCCTGGACACCTGGCGGGTCTCCATCACCTGTGGAGAGAGAGGAAAGGGCTCAGTGAGGCCGGTATCCCGGCTCCGAACCACAGACCTCACGATACACCCAACCCCAGCGCCTCCTGCAGGGCCCCCTACCGCGCAGTGGTTTGGGGCAGTGACGCTGGCAGCCCCGTTATATCGCTTCCACAACCCCCGCAGCGGGCAGTGACGCAGGCCGGGGGGCCGGGGGCGCGGGGTCAGCCTTCCCCCCAGGCTCATTAGGAGCAGCCAGCGGTAATGAGGAGCCGGAGGTGGGGGCCCTGCGGCTGCTTTGGCGGCCACCAACTAATTGGGACCAAGAGCTGGGACCTGCAGAGAAGAGGGAGGGGGAGAGACAGACAGACAGAGCGGTGGACACAGGGGGTGTGTCAGAGGGATAAAAATAGAGACTGGCAGAGGGACTACCAAAGCAGAAGACAGAGACACAGGGAGAGAAGGCGAGACAGGGAAAGCAACAGAAAGGAGAGACTGATGAGGAGAAACAGAGACACAAAGGGAAGAAATAACCATGAGAAGGAAGGACAAAGACAGAGAGTGACTGAGGAAGAGAAGGAGAGGAAGAAAGGGAGTAACAGAGGAAAGAAGGAAGGAAAAGGAGGGTAGAGAGAAGAGAGAGAGACTGGCAGAGCCAGATCCAGGCGGAGAGTTGAGATAAAAGGCTCTCAGAAGGACAGGAGATGGGCCGGCCCGTGGCTCACCAAGTCAAGGGTTAGGATCCCCTTACCGGTCATCTTTAAAAGAAAAAGAAAGAAAGAAAGAAAGAAAGACAGAAGATGGAAGAACAACAGGCAGGGACAGAGATGACCAGAGATAAATCCAGCAGGAAGAGAAGCAGAAAGATAGAGTGAACGTTTGGGGGCTGGTCTCCTGGACCTGGACTCCTTGGGTCCTAGGCAAGAAGGTTGCTGAGGGTTCAGACTCTTGAGTCTGAGGGCGTGTGAGGGGGCTGAGGGTGTAAATTCCTGGTTCTTTAGAGAGGAGAAGCCTGGAAGCACATGCCTAGAATTTTGAGGGAGAAAGGCTTAGAGGGCTGGATTACAGGGGAGAAAGGAGATGGGGATCTTGAACCATTGGATTCAGGGATTGGGAATCCTGAGTCCTAGGTACTTCAGAAATAGAGGCTGGGGGTTTGGACTCCTCAGCCTGAGGTGGGCAGGAGGGCAGAGGTGGGGGGACAGGGAGGAGAGCTGTAGGTCAGGGAGAAAAGGCAAGAGAAGGCAAAAGGTGTGTGTAGTGGGAGTGTAAAGACAGACAAAGTGACTGGCAAAATCAGAAAAAGCTTAGAGATACCATGAAGCGGGACAAGGCATACAAAGACCCTGGGCTATCCTGTAGATGTGTCTAAGTCCTTCTCGGGGAGGATTTTGGGTGTGTTGTGAAGATAAAACCCAATGCCTCCCACACTGACTCTTAAGAGGGAGCCATCTACACACAGTGGGGAGGGAGGCAAAGGTTGGTAGTACTAAAGGGCAGTAGTAACCTGGAACATGGAAACCTGGGCTCCCCGAGAGGAGGGGCCAGAGCTTGGGCTCCTAAGTGTAAGAGTAGATGGGACAGGGACCCAGACTCCTGGGTCCTGGGAGAGGAGGGGCTGGGGGCCTGGATTCCTAAATCTGAGTAAGGAAGGAGCTAGAGGCCTGGACTCCTGGACCTGACATGAGGGAACTGGGGCCTTGACTCCAGGGCGTTGAAGTAAGAAAGTACCAGCGATCTAGACTCGGGTTTGGAGGTAGGAGAGGGGAGGGTGGGGGCCAGGACCCCTGGTTTCAAAGGAAAGATAGTTTGGTTGGGCCAAATACCCCCGCCAGATCATCCAGTTCCCAACTACTTTGCTCCCCACCCCATAACCCCCAGAGACAATGTCTTTTATCTCTGCTCCTTTAAGAGCCTAAGCCTGTTGCTAGGCTCCCAGGATCCCTGGGGAGGGGGCAGGTGTGTCACCTGTGTGCCCCTGGGACCCTGCCACCCTCCACCCCATTCAGAGCCATTGTGCAGAGTTCACCAGTCTTTGCATCCACCTCTGCTCACCTGCTGTTATCTTGGACACCACTGAGCAGGTAAGAAGCCCCAGGACCCCAAGTGACCCATCTAGACTTCTGCCTCTTCCACCTCCACCTGACCACAGACCTATGCATCTCTGCCCAGACCAGCCCCTGAGATGCTGGAATCCTAGCTCCATTCAGAAACCTGAGAATGGCCCCACAGCTCTCTCCTCCCTGAGCCCCTCCCTGCCCCCTGTTCCACGCTGAGGAGTCCAAGCTAGCTCCCAACCTCTATTTCTGAAGGACCCAGGAGTTAGGACTCCCAATCCCTGAATCCAATAGTTCAGGATCCTCATCTCTTCTCTCCCCTGTAATCCAGCCCCCCAAGCCTTGCTCCCTCAAAATTCCAGGCATCGACTTTCCAGCCTTCTCCTCTCCAACGAATCAGAACTTTACACCCTCAGCCTCCTCACAGCCCCTCAGACAGAACCCCCAGTAACCTTCTTGCCCAGGACCCAAGAGTCTCCCTCCTCCCTCAGAACCAGGAGCCCAGCTCCCAACCGTTCCTTCTGAGCCTCCTCTAGTGTAAACAACTGTTGAATCAAGGTGTCCCCGGGGCCCCCATGGAGGCAGGCGATCCCGTGTCTCCTCGGAGGTCTGACACCCTCTAAAATCGTAGTTGAGGAGGACTGGGGACATGAAAAGGTGTCATTCTTTCCCAGTTTTTCTAGGACCCCTCAGGAAAAAGATAGGGGAATTCACTATGACTCCCAAGAAGCCCCGCACCTCAGGGAGGACTGGGGACATGAAAAGGTGTCATTCTTTCCCAGTTTTTCTAGGACCCCTCAGGAAAGAGATAGGGGAATTCACTATGACTCCCAAGAAGCCCCGCACCTCAATCTCCCCTAGTTACTGCTTCTACTGCCTCATAGCCTTTGGGGATTTTTAACCGGGTTCTTCTCCTTTCCCTGGCGCCAAGCTCGGCCCCCGAAGTGTCCACCGGGGACCAGTGGGCGTGGTCTGTGGGAGTGGACGGGGCTCCAGGAAGCCTTCGGCCTTAACCCCTTGCTTCCCGCTCCCCCCGCAGCTGTAGGCATCTCCCAGAGCTATGAAACCGTCCAGCCCGATCCTGTTCCTCCTCGTCTTCCTCCTCGCCTGGCTGGGTTCCAAGGCCGCCCCCTCAGCCTCTCCGCCTTCGGGCTCCGACTTCCCGGGGATGGGCCACCCCTTCAAAACCTCCCCTTGTGCTTCTGAAAATTCCACTAGAGATCGGCCTAACCCAGAATTCCCTGGGACTACTCATCTTGAGCCCTCCAAGACACCTCATGCAATCTCCCCTGAGACCTCCCCCCTTGACTTCACTGAGATCCCTAACTCTGACCTCCCAGAAAGGACACATCCAAAGTCTCCTGGGACCCCCAAGCCTGACCCACTCACAACCTCAATATCAGAATCTGTGGACACTGCAAAAACTAACCCCTCCAAAGCGACACACGCAGAATTTTCTGAGACCCCCAAATATGACCCAACTGAAATTCCACACCCAGGATTTCCTGAGACCCCCAAACCCAATCCCTCCAAAACTTCACACCCAGAATTTCCTGAGACCCCAAACATTGACCTTATGTTAACTACACACCAAGAATCCCCAGAGATTCCCAAACTTAACGCCACTGAAGTCTCACATACAGAAACCCATGAGACCCCAAATCCTGACCCCACCAAAACCCTTGACCCCAAATCTCCAGAAACCCATGACCCTGACATTACTGAGCCCCCAAACACTGCATTACCCCAGACCCTCCATCCTGACCCTACTGAAAGCCCCCACCTTGAATCCCATGTGACTCACAACCCCAGCCCCACTAAAATTCCCCAAACAGAATTCCCCACAACCCACTACCAAGATGCAACAGTGATCCCCATGACCTCTGACCCTGAAATCTCCACTAGTCTTTACCCAGAAGCGCCTGCACCCTTCAAGGATGAAGCTACTGCCCTAAATGAGTTGCCTCTGAATCCCAAACCAGAAACCCCTCCAGCCACCCAGCCTGACTCCCCTAAATTGCCCACCTCAGAGCCTCCAGGGACCATTGAGCTGAAGGCCCCCCAGAACTCTGGCCCTAAAGGGCCTGACGCCCCTCCTCCCTCATCCCGGATTGCAGGGCCCCCTGCTCCTCCGGGGCCCCCCAATGAGCTGGACCCTGCCACTCCGCGGGCCCCCCAGCGGCGCAGCCGAGGTGAGAGAGTCAACACCATCATCGTGGTGGAACGAGTGAAGGAGACCGGTGAGGGGCGGGAGCCGCACTCTTGGGTCTGAGGGAGGAGGGAGCAGGGGTCTGGATTTCTGGGTCTTGGGGAGGAGGGGCTAGGAGCTCAGATTGCTTGTCTCCTCCTTCAGGCGTGACTGTGGTGGGGCGCCCTCGCGGCGCTGCAGGAGGGGCGCTGTGCCTGTTCTTTGCGGGCACCGGGCTGCTGATCGGCATCTTCCTTCTGCTGTGGTGTCTCTACCGCCGGGCAGCTCGACACCGGCCCTTCGCACACCACCGGCTTCCGGACAACGGAGATGAACCGGGTGAGCGCCCCGCCCCTTGAATGCCTGCGCGTTTCCTTAACCTGCTCTCGCCCAGCACTTTAGGGCACCTTGCAAAAGAGTACAGGTCCCTAGCCAAGGCAAATAAAAGCCCTGACCCCTCTATGGTCACGTCCTGCCCACAAATTGCTTGAAATGTCACACACAAATCCACTTCTGCCCCCAGGTCAGTTGGGAACCGCATCAGGCCCAGAGCCACGGGTCCCTACGGGCCCTGTGCTTTTCCCTTCCTGGGCGCAGCTCGGGGCCCCGTATGCCCCGCCTCCTCCACGGCAGGCCCCGCCCCTCCATGGCAGGCCCCACCCCTGCTCCATGGACGCCACGCGTCCTCGTTTATTCGAGAGCCCTCACCCTTTCCTTGATACCCAGTTCAAATGGAAGGTCGGAGTCCTCTCTCCGGCCTCTTCATAGGCCAGCGGCACAGCAGGGGGCACAGGACCCCTTTCAGCCTGGACATGATCCCGGCCCTTTGCTCCCACAGTTGTGCATTTGGACGCCCCGAAGGACCCCTACGACCTCTACTTCTATGCGCCGGATGCCTGGGTCCCTTCGCACATCGCCACCAAGCAGCCACCACCCACACCCCCGCTGCCACCCAAGCTGCCCCCGCCGCCTCGCGGGGGCCGCCCCCAGCGCTTGGAGGCACTGTCCCCCGCCACCCTCCCCAACAACTTCGTGTGAGCCCCACCCGGGGTCGCCAGAGGGTCCTGTCCTCCTGGCATGCTTTGCTACATAGTGCGCCTCTCAGATAGAGGGCCTAACACACAGATGCTTTCTTTGTAGTCAGAGGACACGGTGTGAGGCTGAATAAATGACGTGTTCCCGCGGCTAGACACCTCCTGGCTTGAGTCCGGGGGGGGG